AATAATATGTATATATATATATATATATATCTATACTATATATATATTCTATATATATATATATATATATATATAAGTGATACTACTTTATTTGCTGACATGGATTTGTTTAATGATATTGTTCTAGTTGTATGTCGATATATATATTGATATTTGTACGTCGATGAACTACGTACACATGACAATCTATATGTAAGTGACCATTGTGTCTTCGATCGTTTGTTAATGTTATATCCGGTATACATGAATTGAGTTTATTAACTTTCTCCTGCACGAACTCGCTTGAAGCCCAATGACGATTTCTTGACAAACAAGCGTCTGCGCTCATTTGCAAATCGATGAATAAAGATAACAATGTGTGCTCATGTTAAATGAGCAAAGTATAAGTGAAAGTACAGGTTAGCCATGGTGCTTGCATTATTCGTAGGAATGTATTATAATAGTGCTTCATGGCACTCAAACTTAGTCTTGTGCGTACGTCGGGGTAGTTGTGTGTTTGATGTCCATTCACGGTCTATGCACCTTTTTAAACTGGGATACAATACAGACATCAAATCTATATATACTTCAATTTATACGATACCTTAAAAGTGTATGCTATTGGAAAATAGAGATATGCATACTCATGCCATTCCTACTTTCGGTACAGTCATACCAATGTGTGTTGTATATCGATAAAATTTGCTTCACATCCAATTCGGTATGTTTGTATGTCTGGAAATAACACTCGATACTCGCATGCTCAGCTATATATCAGAACATTGTAGATATTTATATCAACTCGAACAGTATAGGTAAGTATACGATGTCAACGTTTCCAAGTCTTTTGTTCGTGTATGTATGCTCGCATGTAATCGTAGCATATGAACCCATTAGATCGTATCGACGATTTAGACGAGAATGTCGATGCCACATCACGTTTGCCATACACGAGCCCCATATACATATGTTAGTTTGATGATCTCAGGATGTTTTTTCTTTCGCATATCGCATGTGAAAACTAGTATTCGGGGCACGTGTTCTGTAGTCGTGATATTGTCCGGTTTGTTCATCGCTATGCACGACAAACTAACGCATACATATTCAGAATATGAACTTATCTTAATGTTACTTTGCTTGCTTCACGCAGATGGCCGCGTTTCCAAAATCGCATCGATGATTGCGTCGTTCACATCGATCAAATTCAACTACTATCTCATGCAAGAGAAATACGAAGGGCCCAAAGAAGAGGTACGGGTGCTGAGTGACTCATGATATGATATGGAATACGTATGCGTACAAAGGATCCGTTTTGGTTTGAGTATGATGGATTATGTAGCTTTGCCCTACCAGTTTAGAACTTAAACGCTGAGTATTGAGACTGTTTGCGCACGTATCTGTGGAAGTATATGTATTTCAAAAGTATCTATACAGGCACGTTCCAATTTGCATACTAGATAACAGGGTATCTATCCTGGGGTTTTCTGTGGTAACGTCTGCGTATTGTACAACACAGGTGCGGGACGTGTCTTGTACGCAGTGCGACTAGTCCGCATAGATTGGTGTGTTTTGTCTATGACATTTTATATATTGACATATATATTGATTTTGATTTTGATATTGATAATGATAATGATATTGACATTGATATATATATCTCTATATATCGCTGTATTTATAAATTTATATATATATATATATTTATATACTCTTTAGTGAGTTCATCGACAACTCGCGGATCCTACTTACAGCCATAAATCAGACCCTACCGATGCAACACGGAGTGTTGCGCGCTGCGATGGAGCAAGTTCTGACCCTTTGGTCGTCTTTGCATATATCTGGGTGAGTCTGGATTTAGAAATGCTGTATGTTGTCTGACTCATATCATTTGTATATCAATTGACAGAACATCAAGAAAAAAGTAGACCACATGGAAGCCATATTTGATGGTCGACTCTTTGCTTTACCGAAAGAATCAGACGCTGTGGCTAATCTTCTCTGGCGACAGGACTGGGACTGCAAGCGCAACTCCATCTCAATGCTTGCGCAGAAGCACTTCAAGCCGAAGGAAATACACGCCTGCTCGTGTGCGACGGTACGGGTTGCTTATGAATTGTACATGTGTGTTGATGTTTGTGTTTGTGCACTTATCTGATGGTATATATATCCATGCTGTAGTGGTCTGAAAGTCCTTGTTTGTGCAGGAAAGACGGTGAAGCTCGACATCTTCGTATGCAAAGTAGTTTTTTATACCAAAGGATTGTAGATGTACATGAGGAGCACAACAAATATTCAAAACACTATATCACATATTTATATACTGATTCTGAAGATGAAGGTGATGTTAAAGGAGAGGAAGAACATAGTTTGGGAGGATATGCCGGATCACTTCAAGATGGGCACGTTTGCGAAGCGAGGCATTGTCGAGGTGGAGGGATTCAACCCCAGAACTAAGGAGAAGGTGGGACGTTTCATGTCTATATGTGTCTGTGTTTGTGTCAAGGTGGACCTATGCATTCAATTATCCGTATAGTAAAAGGAAACCAGTATAGCTGAAATGATATAGGCTAGTTGTGTACTGTGGCTCCGTTGAACTGGTGTGACCACGGAACATAGACACTCTCAAGCATATCTATATGCTTGTAAGAGGAGTTGACTCTCCATAATGTCTATATGCTTTAACGTGCAATGAGGCTCTCTCAAAATTTTCTATTATGTTTGTAAGAGCAATTTATCGTCTGTATGACCTTTTTTTTTTTTTGGTGTTTTTGTTTCTACTGCTCTCCTGAGTGATGTGCTCAACCAGCAACAGCTCCTGTGGCTGTCTCAACACGGCAACGTATTTGTGACTGTGACGTTAAAGTGTTAAATTAGACACGTATTGTCTGTTGTTTTTTTCCCGTGGCGATTGTCCCATGTGTGCTACTGTCCTATTTTGAGTATGGGAAGGACTTTTGACCCTCCAGCGTCTCTGTCTGTCTATCTATCTATATATGTATGTATGTATGTGTGTGATCCATATGTAGGCTTTGTGTGCGAGGATTACACACAATGTGTATTCACCGCATGCCATATGTCTTACATTCAATACTAATTTTTTTTTCAAATGGAACTCACCCCCACTTCCTGGTAATTGCCGCACTGTGGTAGTCGATCACATGCTGAGTCCGTTTGAATGCAATCGGCATATTAAATTTTAGTATATCTCTGTCTATCTGAACGCTCACTTGTGAGTTTGTTTTGTATCATTTTATATTCTTCGACATTTGTTCTGAACGCCTCTTGGCGATTGGTCATTCAATTGATTTTCCGCCTTGCGTCAGATGGTAGTTTTCTAATCCCGTTTGTCTACCCCAATTCCTTATGTACTCTCCCAGTGTTGGGCAAAGCGGAAGAAGGTTGTCACACGCACATTCGAGCTACTCAAGTACAACGGAGGCCAGGAAGTCGACCAAGGCAAGGTATTACCGAGCTCTGACAAACAGACCGACGTCGTGAAAGTATCTTAAATATAATCAATCATCTGTAAATCCAGTATATGCGTGTGACCTGAATGGTGTGGTTCGTCGCCCATGTTGTACTCGTGCTGTACACTTCCGGGTGTATGGATTACAATACACCCCCTTCACCTCCGGTCTTCGAGATGCTTATTGTTGTAGTCATGCTGCGGAAGCCTTGGTAGTATCATGTACTGTGTAAGGACTGTATGAATCTAGGCATCACTACTCACAACTGGTTTTAGTATGTACTGTGTGAGGACTGTATGAACCTAGGCATCACTACTCACAACTAGTAGTAGTATGTACTGTGTAAGGACTGTATGAACCTAGGCATCACTACTCACAACTAGTATTAGTATGTACTGTTTGAAGACTGTATGAACCTAGGCATCACTACTCACAGCTAGTATTAGTATGTACTGAGTGAGGTCTGTATGGATGTAGTCATCACTACTCACAACCTACTGCCACCTGCCCAGTTGATCTTTGCAAAGACTTGGGACGAAGTGGATGATCTGGCGGACGAGTACAAGGCTTCCACTGCCAGTGACAACACAGCAAACGTACCTACCAGTGACACCACAACAAGCGTACCTACAAGTGGCACCACAACAACAGCAACCGATGACCTACCCACAGAAACCGCTACAGGCATCATCGCAGACACAACACCTGCTCTTGCAGTTGCAGCAGCAGCTCAGGCTATTTCGGCCACCGACATCGCACAGGCAGACGTCGCAAGTGACGTGAAGCGCTCGAGCGACACGGAGGACGCGGCTGGCGAGGCGGTTAAAAAGGTGAAGACTCGCACCGATACGTGAGTGCACTGGCTGTTGTAACGCACATGTACTTGGTTGTACTATTGGTGTATATGCACCACTTTAAACCCTGAACCCCTTGTTGGTGTGTATGCACCATAAAGCCACGCCACGAGCGAGTACCCTGCGATGTGTGCATGTACTGGCTGTTGTAACGCACATGTACTTCGTTGTACAGTTACTGTTAGTTTCTTTCTAGTATAAAGCCTTACTGCGATCAAACACTGTGCTGTATGCCCTGCCCTCACGGTTGATTTTGGTGAACCATTAGACTGTGCTAGAGTAGGATGCTCAGGCGGTATCTGTGGGATGCGTTGTGTGTGAGCGGTTTTGTCTTGTATCATACTATATATTGATGCCCTGTATGCACACATTAAGGCCATGAGCAGCTGCTATTTGATTGGTTGTAGCTTGTAGGTAGACAGTACATTCACACACGCACTGGCTTTCAGTGGGCAGGTGAAGGCGGGTTGCGCCGATATACAGAATGTGTAGTGTTCATGAGAGTGAGATTATATGGTAGTAGTAGTAGTATAGTGGTGGTAGTGCGATTGTAGTAGTAATAATAGTCGTGATAGTAGTATAGTGGTAGTAGTGGTAGTGCAATTGTAGTAGTAATAATAGTTATGATGGTAGTATATTAGTGTGGTGGTAGTGTAATTGTAGTAGTAATAATAGTCGTGGTAGTAGTATATTATTAGTAGTGGGTGTATACGGCTTCGGTTGACAGATATACCCCTTTTCGGTAGCAAATCGCGGCAGCACTATTCTCTGCCAACAGAAATGAATACATGTTCCATGTTCCATAGCAGGTTATATTCACGTATGTCATACCCAGATGAATGCTGAAGCTACTGCTCTCTGCACTACTCAACACGCACGTACGCGCGCATGTTAGTGCGTTATATTTTCAGCCTATAAACGTATCGACACTAATCAACACACATTAAGAAAAAACTTGCCCTCTACAACACGACGTTTTGCATTAGTAAATAGGTATCAACAGTCCTACTGCCTTCTTTTCATTGCTGTGTTCGAATGCATCATGATGTTGTGTGTGTGTGCGTGTCTGTGGGTATGTGGTGTGTGTGCCTGTTTCTGTGCCTGTGTGTGTGTGTTGGGTGTGTATTTCCTGGCACGGTTGTTAAAGTAGGGCAGTCTTTGTACCGGACAACCACAGGTCTGAAAACCCAACGGTCCGAGACACAAATTCTCTCGAAGTTCCAAACCAGTGCTGCTTCGAGCTCAGCTCTCCCCAGTCAAACGGACACTGAAAAGGGATGTCCAAAATCCAGCCGTGCCTACCACGTCGTATTCCCAACAATTTATCCCCTTCCATTCTGTCTGATATCCGACAATTCTATGCTATAGATATATCATGCATTCATAGTCGATTTCAAGGTGCTGGCGCATTCTGTTGAAAAGCCGATGCTGATGGTTGGCTATACTTTACTGACATAATACAACAGCGCCACTTTCCAGTCGCACCTCGACAGCCTGACAGGCCCATCTATCGTTTGGCATTGTGAGATGAATTCAGGCGCTTCACTTGTATACCTTATCCTCCACTATGTGATAATATTAGCCTTACAAGTCATCGTTCGCAACTGATATCCCTACATAGATCGACACCTCAGTACACCTATTGTGTGCGAGAGAGAGACATGCAGGGCCAAAAGATTATCGACTACATTACATACTAATATTGATGGTGCTGGAAGAGTCTTGTATCTGGGAATGGCACACATAAGAAGAATACACGCAGGCAAGTATCCGAGAAGTGCGGTACATCATGCGCGAATAGTACTTCATATGCGGGGTATTATATAGCCTGAAATCTCTACTGAGGTCTTCGTCCAGAACATTTCGATATTCATGGTGACAAGCAGGTTGCTAGAAATCCTACATATTAAAATATTACCTACAACCTTCAAACATACCATCTTGATGTCTAGCGATCTCACTATCTGTAGCAGGTCTGCCCTACTAAACTTTCATTTTGTGACCATAGTACGTGTGCACGTGAACGACATACTGTAAATATTGCTAAAAAGCATTTGCCAAGCGATGCAATTTGCTTGTGGCTTTCTGATAAGATGACTGTTTACCAGCCAAGCAACGTGAACTCTGATACACATACAAAAGGACAAGAAGGGATAACGCAATATATTCATCTAAGGTCAAGGATCATAGTCAATGTCCAAGAAATGGATGTTTGACTTGGACCTGTTTTCGGAATATATCGGGATATTTTGCACAGCTATCAAGATAGCAAGCCCTGTAGCAGTCGATCAGGAACTTAGTTGGGTCCCCTTGGTTGTAGCACATGTGAGTCTTTCAATCGGAAAGCTGAGCTTCTAAACCCACCATGACATCTGATTGACTATACCTGTATCATTTTGTACATAATGATAAATCCTGACCATTGTACTCGAGAGAGGTTCATGGCAAAATATCTCAGACATGGCCTTCTAAATAGGCATATTTAATTCAGTACATCTCTCTTGGCTCATAGCCTCCTAAATAAGAACCTAAGGAGGCTATGCTTGGGTCATACCAGCCAAACCCTAAACCCTAGACTGCTCATTACAGGGTTAAGTTTTTTCTGCATTTTAGAAGGCCATGGTTTGCCGTCTGTCTCTCATGGATGTATGTAATTAAATATATGTGTCTCCACATCAAAATGCATTCACAACAAAAATGTCTCTGAAGTGTGCTGTACTCTTCTCTTTACTTTTATCATAAATAACCGGATTGTTTGCTTCGAAAGAATTACGACGACGGTCCGCATTGATTAATCAGGATGATTGTAGTACTTAGTGTAGCGGAAAGCTGTCACTCATTGACACTCCTATGAACGAAATGCAGTCCAATGGTTTGTATGAGCAATAGCCCTATGAGTAACACTGCTGCAAGTATACGGACACTTTCGAGGCGTCTGTGTTTGTGCTATATGGCCCTAGTCGATGCTTGGGTGATACCTTAATGCTGTCGCATGTCTGCCAGAGTAGGATAGTGTGTGTAATTGTGTGCATCTATGAATAGGTGTGTTCGGACTGATAGTGTTCGTTGGGTATAGACGACCACAACTGATTCGCCTATATCGACAGGGCATGCTAGGAAGTTTTCAGATATGTGCATATAAGGTTGTGCCAGTTCATTAGGATGGATGTGGTGTACGTGCCTGACTCGAAATAGCGACTCGAATACGATATATATTGTTGCTCTGTGCATCATACATAGCCTGGCATCGTTTAGGTAGGCACCGAACAACAATATATACGCTTTGAGGCACGTGTCTGGCTTGAGTGCACTCGTGTGCACAAGGTTACTGAGAATCATCTGATAATAAGGAAAACCAGCGCAGCCTACATCAAGTATAGAAAGCCGGCGCAGTTGTTGAATACGTTTGTCCCGCGTGCGTTCTAAGGAATCTGCTCAGGGCACAAGGGAATACTGACAAATCATATGCCCTATATATATATATATATATATATATATATATATATTCTTTCGGTATAGTATCTCAACTGCGAATTTGTATCCGTTTAACTCTATACATAGATTTCAAAGATACTGCGCCACGTTTTTTTGACCATGTAAACACAAGTCTCAAAAACTGAAAAACATCATCGACACACCTCTATGGCATCATACACACACATGTAATAATAGTATCAACCCATCTCCTTTGTGCCATACATACACGTGTAGTAAGAATGTCACCTCACCTTCTTTGCTATTATTCATCTTCAAATGGCAAAATAGCTATTTACGACAAACATGACTGCACCAGACTTCAGAGCACATTCATAAATAGATCAAAGATGAAAGATGCCAGGCCAAATGGAATGCCTCTCTCTCAATTACATGGTAGGGAGAGAGAGATCTCGATACATGTGTAGTGTAGGACTGTAGGTCAGCTGATATTCGAGAATTTATCTTTTTTGGAAACTGTTCTTCTATTTACAAATACCAAAATAATGCTGTTTTTGTTGTTGTTTTTTTTTTTTTAAACGTACGTCTATCATGAAGGCTATTTATGAAACAAAACAAATAGAGAACTGTCCAGTCAGAGGACAGAGGAGTCGTTGGCTGTTCAGTGTTCAGTGTTCAGACCTGGGGCCCTGGGCTGATATTTACGAGGTCGCGACATGTCGTCTGAAAAATGTTGTACACGACCGTCTCGACGTGTCGTCTATAGCATATCGTATGTCGCATAGATATACAAACTCGACATATTGTCATACATACAGTCGGGAATTTTCAAAAGGTACTCGATGAAAGGTCCCGTGATGATTGGCGAATTTTTCAGATATAGATGATTCAAAGGGTCTAATTTCTTCACTTATGAGCCGGCCATAAGACATGTCACGAACTCGCGACCGATGTCGCGACATGTCGCCCAATAAAATAGGTAAACTACTGTCTAACGCGTCGCCATAGGCAAAAGACGTTTACCAGCTCAGGTTCACACTTCACGTGACTGTTGAATCAACCTGAGTGCTACTTCGTGGCGCCCATTATTTTGGTTCAACATATTCAGACTTTAGTTTCCACAACTTCTAAAATGTGATAATGAACGGTATGAACTTGATGATGTCAGAAGTGGAGCACAGAAACATAAGAGAGTAAATATATAAAACTGCTACGTAGCAGTTTTGTCACTTTGTGTGTATGCAATATGTAATACACACTAAATAGCAATAGCTAAAGCCGTGGAATTGTGGATCATAAAGCAATGGCTGCGTAGCAGCCAAACAATCAAGTAGTCCAGCACTCCCAGGGCCCACGAACCAGGCGGCCCAGGCCCCGGCCCAATTATTGGGCACTGGGCCTTAGACAGGCGCCAGGCGGTCCTGGACTCCTTTGTCGCCCCCCTCTCTGCTCTCTTCGCCAGGGGCCAGGGTACATACGTAAGGACTATGTATGACGAAGGACTAAGGAGTAAGGACTACTCTCTCTCACGGGCCAGCGCCCCAGCGGTAGCAATTTTTAGATATAAAATATGTAAATAGTAAATACGTTATTGTCGCTTGCTCGATCTTGCAAAATCTAGATTCTGGACAGTGGACGGTATAAAACTTCGTATGAATGTACCATCATTTAAAATTTTGAATACATCTTTGAAGACTTTTATAAAAAAAATATAGAGGAGTCCCGAGTCAGCCAGTCAGGTCCAGGTCAGGACTCCATGAGAGTATGTTTAAAAATTGGAGTTTTGGGAGAGTGAACTGTGGAGTAGTGTTGACTAAAAAATCACATATTTATTGAATAATCTCTTATACATATATATTGACCTTTTCTCTCTACAATTATCCATAGGTATGTACTCATCATCATAGAGTATAGACTATATAGATTATAGAGTATATCGCAACTATGTATTGAATTGCTGCTCGAATTCTCCAAGAACGTAGTAGATTTGCAATAAATATGGGGGTTTTTTTAAACAAAAAGGGACTCAAGAGTGTCAACTGTCAAGTTTCAACAATCAACAACACAAGAAGTCAATAGTAGGTTGCAAGACGCAAATCCACATTACACTCACTCACTCAGACTTGCAAGTTGCAGTCAACATTCAGCACTACCCAGCAGTCGGCAGTCGGCACTCGGCACTCGGCAGTCGGCTGTAGGTAGTCGGCTGTTGGGTACTCGCAGACTTGAACTCTCGTAATCTGTCCGTCTAACTCTGTCCGTCTGTCGAGTGTCATACAACTGCCAACTCACGACTGTTCAAATTATTAGTGTCGAGTTTTATAGGACTGTCCCGCTATTAGCCTTCATAGTTCATCAGTTACCAGCGTTCACCACAGAGAGTTATACATATGTAGTCTCACAGACCAGCCACACAGCACACAGAAGAGAAGTCAGAACAAGGAGACAGAAGAGTGACAACAACGTACAAATACTCATAACTGTCATGACACATCATGCGTCCCATCACTCATCAAGATTCATGCATGTCAACTGTCGAGTGTCAACCTGGTCCTAGCTGTCAGACTTTAAAAGCACTCACCAATTCGGTGTTCACGGAGATTCTCGCCCTCAGCCTAATAACCCCTCAGCCTGAGGCCCTAAGCCCTCAGGCCTCAGGCCCAGTCTCAGCCCTCTGTCAGTGTCTCACAGGGCTCGGTCACTCGGATGAGTCGGACTTCCGAATTATTACCGGGTCACCAATGAAGGTCCAATATAAGCGTAGTAAAACCACATACGAAGCTTGTATTGGACAACATAAAACTACATCATAAAATTCAAATGGGGTTTTCCTAAATATGGGGTTTTTCCCCAGTACATGAATTAGTCATGACCAAAATAATTCTCGGTATAAATGCCTTGAGCAGGCACTACAATAAAGCACTTATTCTAGCTCTTATAATTGACAGTCTAACCCAAATTTCTGTTCCGACTTCCGACTCCCGACTTCCGCCTCACTTCTGAAGTTCTGAGTCGGGACTCTCAGGACTGGGAGCCTGTGAGGCTAGTAGCAGTCTGTGAGACTGGTAGCAGTCTGTGAGACTAGTAGCAGTCTGTGAGACTAATAGCAGTCTGTGAGACTAGTAGCAGTCTACTAAGAGGGAGTAGAGGGATTGAGACCGAGTCACTGAGACCGGACGGCGGACGATCACTCTCTCCTCTCTCGATCACAGTTTTACTCCTTGATATTTGTACAAATACTTTGTATACTCTAAAATTTTACATTTTAAATTTTCTACATATTACAGAAGCGGAAACGCGGCTGCTGCCAACAGTGCCAACTGCCAACACACACACAACAAGAGTGAGAACTTCCTCTACATATGTACAACTCAAGTACTCAACACAAGAAGAGAGAGAGAATACAATTATCCACAAGTGCCAACAAGACACACAAGAAGAAGAGAGAGTGCGCAACACCAAGTATTGTTGACTTTTCTCGTTAGTCATAAATTTTAGTCATATGTAGGTATTTAGGCTTTTAAAGAGTTATTGTTTTCATTAATGGTACATAGCACATACTGTAGTGATAGCTGTACTCTGTAGTATTTACCAACTATAGTGGAATACATACATACATATATGTAAATACACATAGCCAAAAAAAAATACAAGAAAGCCAACTGCCACGCGCAGTGACAGGGTATTCAGGCTAACCTCAAACCGTTTTCCGTCGAAACTTTTATAAATCGAATAAATATACGTTTACGCTCAACTTTTATTCCAAATACGGTCCTTTTTATACTAATAGGTGCATTTTGTGGGTCTAAAAATTTAAGTATGTACTGATTTTACCATGAATCAGTCCTAAAAATGAACTAAGGTAGGCTCTTGTGATCACCTTATAACCGTTATAACGTTTTATAATTGAATAAATATGCGTTACGCTCAACTTCTATCTCATACCCCATAACGTAATGAGCTTAGCACTCAGGGGCTCAGGGGCTCAGGAGCTCAGGGGCTCAGGAGCTCAGGGGCTCAGGAGCTCAGGGGGCTCAGAGGCTCAGGGGGGCACCAGACCTGCAGTCCACCAGGCACCCTGCCATCAGCTCAACGACAAAAAAAAGTATACATTGTTTTTATTTTATTTTTCTTAAAAAATATCATATTTACAAGAAGAAGAGACTCGCTAGAGACTGAGAGAGTGGAGACTGGTCAGTGGGTCACTGGAGACTAGAGAACTCAAAACTGGTGAGTGGGGACTGGGGAGTGTGATCGCGGGACGACATGGAGTGAGAGAAACAAAGAGAGTATTTGTGCTCACAGCCCACAGGCCACAGCTCGGTACAAATGGTCCAAGCAACTGGCAAGTCGCATTTTAAAAATTTACAACTTGCAAGTCACATTATAAAATTTATCCACAGCAAGAGAAGAGGGTACAAATACAATGCCTACGCTTTGCATATGCTCATATTTAAGTTTTAGTGCAAACAAGTGAGCTTTTTGAATTCATCTTTACAAACAAGTGGACGAATTGCGTCGAGGTCTCTATAACGCCTGTAATTTACAAGTAGTCTGTGTACCTGCCTCGCAATCCAAATTTAAGTCATAATGTCCGAAAAGGCAGCAGACACGAAGTTGAAAAGAAAGGCACTCAATATAAGAGTGAGTCATCGAAGCTCACTTTCTCCAATATCCACGGCCGCTGTTAGCTCCCCGAAGTCAATTAGAGAGCACATTATCATCAAAAGGTCATGGACACGGGTCATCGAACCTCAATCGGACAAAAATAATACGTTATTGCAGTTCGTTAAGACATTTTACAAGCTTTTATTTGATCACTTGCCCGTTCTCGAGACTGTCTTCAATTCTCCCGATGTGCAGAGTAAGTATTTAGCACTGACTGTGGCTCTCACTGTGGATAAGAAAACAGCATCAGCCACTAAACGACAGCAGATCGAGCAGGAATACATGACCTTGAACAAAACATTAGGAATATATCTTAGCACGCAAGTAGTGATAGGTAGAGTATTATTGCTCACTCTAAAGGAAACATTGTCCGAGAATGAATACTGCATCAAGGTGAGGATAACATGGGTGAATCGATTGACTAAATTGATTTTCTGCATACAAGGTGAGGGAATGGGGTCTTCGATTAAACAGGACGATGTCAAGACGCTTCTGCAATCGACAGAAGTGAGTAATGACTACTTCCTCGCATCACTAAAGCAGGGAATTCCGATGTGCCCAGGCATCGGTGATGCTTGTGAAGCGAAGAAACCAATGTTCAGGCGGGGGAGCAAAAAAAAACGCTCTACATCACTGTTTGATGCTAATGGACTAGTCGAAGGGACACCACGGTCTACTACCAGTCGGTCGCCGAAAATGCAAGCCATCCGGAAAGTTTTTCCGAACAATAGCTACGATATCAGTGGTAAAGGAACTTTACGTAACACGGAACTAAACGAGTGTTTGAAATCTGTACAAGACGCAGAAAATATTGAAGGGGAGTTTGAATCGAGCAAAGTGCGTGCTGACGGTACTACAGAATTTTACTCCAGTATACCTATGATGGAGACAGTGGTAAACAAAGAATACAGAGGTCCTTTGAGGCGTCGTGCGAGTACGAGTGTGCAACGCGCGATGAAAATGGTATCCGCATTGGTACCTCCGAGGTTATCGGTGTCAAGTAGCGAGAAACATATTGAATCATAATGACAGTAAATACCGTGTATACAATAACGGCATTTCATTTCTTTTTCAAGTATCGTTGACATGTCTCGTGCATGTAATGTTCAGCAGATGCAAAGGCTTGGAATCTCTCATCAAGGTATCTAAGGTGTAGCTAGAGTAAGACCCGCACCTTCGAAGTAGATCAGGCAGCATTCTGACCGCAAATTAATTGGCACTTTAACTGTAGCATGTATGTGAATCGCTGCCGTCACATTCAGGTAAAATCCTGGTGTAGCCGTAAGCCGACTTTGCAGTGTGCGCCGGTGTGGCTTGAAGGGTCACATACCACTCGTCTCGCTACATATGTACCTATTTTTTATTTGATATTGTTTTTTTTATGTTCTACATAAAATACATACCCTCTCGGGGACAAGAATTTGCCCTTGGAGATGTTTTTTAGGATGTTTGTTTTTAAAAAGACAAAAAATAGGGGTTTCAGGAATTGTATTTGGTTCAGTCGGATACCTTACTTCAAACCCAGACTTTGGCAGAGCATGGAATTCGAAGTAGTGACCCTATACCTATCGAGGAGTTCGATAGCGGAAACGACTTATACTGACCTGCTCTTGAAAATCACCCGAACCCTTTTTTGAAAACATGTTTGGTTCGAGCTCCACCAAAACCAAAAATTAAAAAATTAAAATAAAATAAAAAAGGTCGTTTTGGATATGCTGTTTATATATAGACTATTTGGGTCGATATCAATCACTTTTAGGGTCGATCATGGCACATTTTAAAACCCCTAAATACCTGACAAATATCCAAGAGACTCCATTGGCATGTTTTGTCACTCACAAAGTTAGAAAACACTAATATGAGAAGTAGCCGTATTATTACTATACTATATGTATAATGTATGCACACTTGTAATTGGTAGCTTCGGTTGTGATAAGCATGTCGAACAGGTCAAGGCACTTGAGTGGTGGCCGGGTGAAGAGACAAAATTTAGGAGACAGACAAACGAACAAGTTTACTGCAGTTATACAAGATTATGAATTTGAGCCTGATGATATAGAGTTAATTAAATGAGGATAGTACTTTTGATAGGGAAGAAACTTTCGTGGATGCTTTACTAGATTACTAGATGATGGGAAGTATTTGAAGGGACGATGGGAGGCTGTCTATACAGGTGCGTCAGCAAGGACAGACAGAAAAAAGAGATTGAAAGCCAAGAAGATCTGATTAGGATCCGATCATGAAGTCTTTCTTCAGTAAACCCCTAAACTCTCAACCCTAATACTCTATTCGACGTCAAGTGTTCTCTCTGTGTCAACCCCACGACATAAATCTGTTCAAAATTTGCAATCGTATCCTTAGAGAGTGCCTTCTCTTCGACAATCTCTACGTATATGTTTCTTTTAGAAGAAGGCTATGTCGCATAGCTCTGTTGATACTCGTTGAAGCGTTTTCTTTACCGTATTTCAATGTTTTGGCCGCCGACAGTCAACAATCTAAATATTGGCCACTGCACGGGCTGTCATGGTCGGATATTTGGCCTCATCAAAATGGCCGAAATTTTTTTTATTACGGCAATGGCTTCCTTTACACAATCCTAATCACACTGGATATTTTGTTTTTGAAAATTCCAATTTTTTGACGTAGAAAAATATAGAGAAGTAAAGGACCAAGTAGGGTGATCTACATCCGACTGCGCCATAGGATTTTAGTTTTTACCTGGCCCGGACCATGAGACTGCTTGAGAATAAAAACCCCTATCTTTTAGAACCGGATTTTCAACAAAAAAAATCACATCATGTGATATTTTTCCATAGCCTTCTCAGAATTGAACTGTTATTCTAACTATTTAACATTTCTGTCGGATTGTCAAATCGTATTTCGCCGCCGGTAATATATTGTGTTGTCTGTCGACTCGAGTCTGTAAACTTGAATGTACTGTAACAGGTACTGCTTGCGATGCTTGCAGCGTATACGATGCGTTGTATCAATGTTTATCCATGCAAATATGCGCGTAGCCTATATCGCTAGAAACCTATCCACTACAAACATGATTTGAAGTGTATTTGATTATTTCGTAGAACGAGCATGAGGCTGCCGTGTTGACACAAACAAAAGAAGCTAGCGTCAACGAGATGTCACCTGAGTTGCTGACTATGGGTCCTGCTCATGTGCTCATAACCATGGGTGGCGAGATAAAAATACATGCTCGAAGTAATGCGTAGTGTATGAACAATATCATAGTGGAGTGGCCGTAAATTTTATACGCATACATGGCGAAACACCCTAAAATACTCACAGCCAGGTAGAGGTACCCGTTCTATGTGTTCAAATTAAGGATGATACTTTCCGTGAGAGTTCCATGACAACACATACTGTATAGCAAGATCTCAATTCGTAGTCTGCTTCCTGATATCCTAATTTATGTACATGTATGTGTATCATCACTTG